GAACAATTTAATGACCTTCCTAAAGACTTTGCTTTCTTCTATGTAATTAACCTTTCTTTCTTGGAATTTGGTGAAGTCCTTGGTTTTATTCTTGAGGGTTGTTTTGCTTTGATTGGTTGGTTTTGTTTGTTTTTTTTCTTTAATTGGTGAAAACTGCTTTAAAGATCTTTTATTGTTTGCTGAAGGGTTTTTCCTGAGAGTGTTTACAAACTCCTGATCAGTAGGTTGCCAGGGTTTTCAATCAAGGACAAAACCACCCACCAGCCAGCCTTTTCTGATAAAGAACTTTATCTATACTTCAGCTTTCTCTTTTCTAGCTCAGATGACTCACTGCTCAGCTGAGTCATCTTCCATCACGGCTCATTATCAAGCTTGAACACGTATATACCCCTAAATCTCTTCACCAGCTGCTTGTTGATTTAGCAGAGCCAGGACTCGTTTTGGGTACAAATTTTCAATTTCTTTCTCTGAAGTTGCATTTTGCATGTGTTTGTCTCTTGAAATCTCATTTAGAGGTAGAGTTCTATTTTAATGTTTACATGAACATCAGAAAGCTGGCAGTTTTTCATCACTGAAGCTGGAAACCAAGCCAAGTGTGAAGACAGCAACATATTTTCTCACTATTCCCATCTACTCTTCCCTCCAGTTGCAGGAATAAAGGCATGGGTGGGCAGAGGCAAACAAAACCCAGAAATGAACATCCTGGATCTGGTCCTCTAGGGGACTGCAGCTGTTATGTCAATTTTATTGAAAAGTCTCATTAATTGATATTGTGGAGGAAAAGTCAGATTTCATCAACTGGTGGACTGGAACAATACAGTGCTTCTGTTAAGGCTTCTTTGCTTTGCTCCACTAATTCTGCTGGTAAACTTTCAGTACCACACTGGGAAATATATTCAACTAAACGTGGGCCAAATAACTTGTTTGACGCTCAGCATAACCTTGAGATAAACAGCAGGATGTGCAGCACTTTGCTTACAGCACAATCTGTTTCACAAACTGTGGAAGAAGTTACTCATGTTTTCAGTAGAGACAAGTGTCCTTATTTTAAACTATTAAGGATTTAAAATCAAAAAACAGTTGAGAGAGTGATAAGCAGTGACCCAAACCTTTGAACTGAAGTTATTTTGAAACTTTCTCACAATCCCCCCCACACCCTTTTCTTTTATTCTTGTCCTCCAAGGACTGGCAGGGGCAGGGAGGAAGCAGCACAACCTTGAAAAAAGCGTTCTTAACTCAGCCAAAACTTTGGAGGACTGATTTTGCTGTTGTTGCCATTGTTACATGAGAACTCAGAAAACTGTGAACTGTCACAAAGCTCAGATGTGGATACAAACCCTCCCATAGTTTTAGACTAGTAAGATAGATAGTAGACTGTGTGGTGTCCTTCTTACTTACTTCACCCTTCTTCAAGCCACCTTGTAAGGTGTTTCTTTCATTGACCTCAGTGCTTTAGGAAAGTAGGTGTTGTACCAAAAGGGGTGTTAGCTTTAAAATAAACCTGACAAAAATGTTGTGGAAAACCCCCATAAGTACATGGCAGCAGCACTGCTGCAGTGTTGATGTATGTATTATGCCCAGTTGGCTTCATCTGATCAGTGTATATTTACCAGCTATGGATTTCATTTGTATTCTGCAAGGAGCTGCTTTATTTCAATAGACTGCTGATTGTCCAAGGCTGGCAGTTAACCTTGGCACAGCCCATGATAACTGTGAGAAAGGAAATCATATAGCTAGCTAAAAAGGAGAAGCCTGTTAACATACAAAGAAATGAAAGTTGACTCTGAAAGCTGCATAGCTGAAATCTTCTAATGTAGGAGAGTAGTAGATATTATTTTCTTCAAAATGTATACCTCTGGGAAAAATGCATTCTCTTGGGTCTAGCTCTTCTGGCTTGGCACTGTTTCAGTATTGTGACATCGTAAATGAGCATGAAATGTACACTACTAGAGTGGTATAAACCAGCTTTTTATGTAATAAGGATCATATATATATATATATAATATATATATATAAAAAATGTTTTACTGGACACAGAAGATATTTTTAGTTCTAAGAAACCAAGGTCCTGTTTCCTTGAAATCAGTGGTAAAAATCTTGCTTGACTTTCAGGGGCATTAATATATAATATAATATTGCTTCTTGTTTGCGAATATCCCCAAGGAAACACCAGTGCTTGACTATCTCTTTCTCTCTTTATCTTCTGATTCTATAATCTGGCATGCTTCCAGTCATGGAAGATCTGCACGCTACTGAACATCTTTTGTTTCTCACAGCAATGCCTCTTCTTTGCCAACATACAAAAGGGGATAAAACCCCAATATTGTAACATGACAGGATGGATTTTCTGTGGGTGTAATACCACAGAGTCCTGTAGAGTAAGACACCTGAGAAAAATATACAATGCCCTTAGTTTGAAACACTTCCAATAGAAATGTGTGATTTCTGTTCCTCTGTTCCCCCAGAAATCCATCCATCTTTTGCTGCTTTAGATGATTTCATCAGTTTTGAACTGTATTTAAACTCTGCTTTTGCTTTTTATGCTTCAGCTATTTCAGGACATGCCCTTTGCTTATGAGTTCTTCATTTAGCCTTCTTGATTGAATAACTTTTCTTGTAAAGCTCCTTCTTTCTCGGTGTCTAACTTAAAGGCAAATGTGTATGTGACAATGGCAAGTTGAGTATGATACCTTAATTTGCTTTGAAATATTTTGAAACAGAGTATTGACAGTCTATACTTTCGATGCAATTAGTAGGATCATGGTTCTACCTACAACTCCATATAATGATGTTGAATCTAGTAATTCTCGTATAGTTTCAGAAGGCAGAAATCTTGCCCTTCTCTATAAATGTGGGGGGGTTGTTTTGTATTGAGTTTCTCTTCTTTTTGCAGTATAAACTCCTACTGAAAGACTAAAGCCTTTTGTAAAACAGAAGCTGACCTGTTTTAAAGAAAGTCACACAAGTTTTTCAGTAAAAAATGGTTAATTATTTCTCAAGAAAGTCGTTTATCACTCAAGATCCTGTGTTTCTTGGTATTTAAGAGAAATCGTATAAAGCACATTAAATGGTATATCTTTATTCTTTTCTTAACTAGGGCTGTGCAGATTTAAAACCAGATAGTCGTGGAGAAAGGTCTTGCCCTGATAAATGTTCACAAAGTGAAGTTAGTAAGCTGTGCTGGTTCTGTCGATGCAAACACCTTTGCATGTGGCCTCATCCCTGGGAACTGCACGGGTCAGTGAACACCTCTCAGATGTCTTTTGCTGGTATCTCTGACAACCTCACAGTAGAAAACCCTGTTGTCAGTTAACAGTTCTTCTGAGCCTGGGACACTGCATGATTTCGTGCTCTCAACTGGCTACTGAATCAGGTTGTACACTAAATATTCAACTAGGCATTGATGCGCTGTGAGTAAATCCTCATAGTGCTGGATGTCACAGCGGCTTTGGGGTTTGTCAGGGCTCCTGGCACCTGATCCTCCCTTGTCTGGGTGCTACTGAACGCTTAGTGTGGTTGTTTGTGGATCTGCCCTTGAAGTGCCACAACAAAAGCCTCTTGGAGAGAATGGGTAATGCTACAATATGATCAAGCTGAGCCACAAACCACAAATGCACAAATACGTGTTATTAACGAAATAGATTCTAATGTCTCTGAAGTACCAAACCCTCTTTGGGTAACCACTCCTTTTTTCTAGTGCATGGATTTTTGATAAGATACATCTTGACAGCTCTTGCAGAGCCATTATACCCTAGCACAAAACCAAATGCTTTTATTACAAAGACTCATGGCACAAAAAAACTTGTGATGACTTTCTATTAAATATGGTAGTGTCACATGTAGTTTAAAAATATGACACTTTCTTTGAAATTCCTCTAGCATATATACATAAGCCAATGTTCTAAACCTGATTATGCAGCCAGGATGTTTTTTCCCTTAGTAGTGCAGTCTGTATTGTATGAAAATAATAGTTGGTGCTTAGAGCCATCTTTTCAAAGTCTCTTTCAATTTCAAAACTTTTAAAGCATTCTGAGATGCTTCAGCATGCATTATACCTGTTTTACAGTTAAGAAGGCTGAAGTGCAAGCTGAATGGTTTGTCTGAGATCACAGAATATAGCAGTGGTAAATCCAGAAGAAGAGTAATGGTGTTAGAGCCTGTTGTTTCGTAGCTCACTTAATGTGTGTTTTCTGGTGTTGCTTTGTCTAGAGGTTAAAGTGCAGAAAATGCTTGTTCAGTTCAGAGATGCAGGACTGCAGAAACATTATTTAAAATTAAAATGTCTATTTTCACATTCTGATTTGATTTTGTACTGATATCAAGACAAAGTTGCTTGGTTATGTTTTTTGAGGGGAAGGAGAAGGATAGAGTCTTTAAGAAAATGTTATTGAGGTCAGTCAAAAGAGACATGATTGAAGCTGTTTGGAAATAAGAAAACAGAGAAGTTGAAACAACTAATCTTTCTGTGTAGCATTGCAAATAGAGCCCTCATGAACTGAGAAAGGGTTGGGGGGAGGGAGGAGACCAGCATTTCATTCAGTAGATGCGGCAGCAATGTATCAGCTAAGATGATTTTGGGGAGTAGCTGCTTGATGAGGTGCTGTTTCACTAAAACAGAAAGCAAAACACCTGAAAGAATCAATCTTCTGCCCCCTTCCCCCCCCCTTTTTTTTTTTTTTTTTTGGTTCGAGATTTTTAATTACTCTTAAATGTAGGTCACTGTTTTTGGCAAACTTGGACATGGGTTTTGTAACTTAAAAATTCTGCACAGCTTGCTCACCAGGCTGCACTGAGTTCACTTGAGTGCACGGAGGAGTCAGACAGTCCAGCAGACCTGAGGAGGGGCAGGAGGGCGTCTCATGGTGTGGCAAACCCGAGGGAAGCATGGATGGCGTTCCAGCTGGCCTGCTGCTTCTGAAGGCAACTTACAGCAGCTGAAATGCTGTTCTCTGCTTTTCCATTTGTGTCAAGAAATGGAGATGTTTCTGTTGTTTTACATACCTGGCAGTCTGTGAGTTCTGCAGAGTGCTGCTGTGTTAGTGCTATGTTTAAATGCACAGGTTTGCAGCAACAAATCTCCTCGTGCACATGTAGTCCTTGATGCTGACTTTGTGCCTGAGGTAAGCGCTGTGTGTGAGAATGGGAGCTGTCATTCTATGACTTTCCTGGTCTTTGTGTAATTAAATTATTGGTCGTGATATTGTATTAGGTGTGGCAGGCAGACCTAGCCGTGAATGCGTAAGTATCTGTGGTCGGGTCACCAGCTACTGTAGACTGTGGGTCTCCAGGATACTTATGCCATCAGGGTGTAGGTTTTCTGGAGGTACAGTGAAAAAATGGGATATGTAGGTTGGGATCATGCTGATGATGAAACGGCCACTTGTTTTTTTCCCTCCGTCTCAAAAAGGTTATGCTTTTCTAATTTAAATATTTATTAATTTAAAATTAGTGACTTGTCTAGATTATTGTCTGTCTTTTACATCACACTTTAGCAAAAGAAATATCATGGTTTTTTTTTCTGTTGGAAGAGTGGTTTCATGCTCCCACCACAAGGGTGAGAAACAAATATGGATGGGTTGGCATGTGCTGTCTGTCCAGCTTTTCAGGAGCCCCGCTATTTCCCCACGGGAGGGTGGGTGTTTAGCAGTAGCTATGTCAGCTGCTAGGTGTGCTTGTGAGCCCAGGACTATGTCAGCAGAGTTTACATAATTATTATAGAGCTCCAGATGTCATGTTTTGGGGACAGTAACTTGCAAATAGTTTTCTACTCAAAACCATGACTACTAACCAGTAGCTTTGCGACACAAATTCAGAAAATACCTCCTTGCAAAAGACTTCTTGAAAGCTCCTCCAAAAGACTGCAGAAGAGTTTTATTACCCATTCCAAGATTATCAAACACATTGGGCTCCAGGAGATAATTTCTGGTTTTCACTTCAATTGCACTTTAAGATATAATATTCTTTTAGGGTCTGACATGAAAGGTGGATTTCTGCTTTACAGAGCATTTGGAATATATGAGGGTACAGTCACAGCAGAGATAGCCTTTGGCTATTAAAACCCAAATATACTTAGACTGTTTGTTTGGCTTTTCTTGTATGCTGTATACAATAGCTTTCTCGGTGTATGTAACCTGAAGGGGCTTTCCTACATCATGCTGGCTACTGTTTTGATTTGGAAGGAATAGAAACATCAACATGCCTTCTAATTTCCTCTGCTCTGGTTTTGTTTAATATAATTAGCTTACTAAGCAGCAAAAGACAGTCAAGGTCATTAGCATCAACTCCATTCTTTGTCTTGACATGTTAGCTACCCACTTTTCCTTCAAAATTATCCTTAAAAATCCAGTTAATGTTTAAAGTTTAGTAACTATAGGAACACATTCAAATCTATGTTTCTCTCCCTTTCTGCACTGTGCTCTGTTTGAGTCCAGAGAGGCTCAGGTGTCAACTGCTTCTGTGCAAGGTATTGTTCTCTCGGAGACCTGGGATACTGTTCCTTGTGTGTAAAGAGGAAAAGATGGGGTAGGTTCTTAAAAAAGTCCAGAGGAATGGGAGTGATTGGCTCTGACTCCTGGAGCCTCACTGAATGAGGTGAATGAACAATTAAGTAATGGCAATATATAAGAAACACCTGGAAATGAACACCTGTGTAATTTGACCCTTTGTTGTGTCAAACAAGGGTGAGATTAGTTAGTGATTTGTATGAAAGTAAGCACCACAGGGCCCAGCCTTAGCTACGTGGTGGTTTGATCACAGGAGTAACCAGGCTTTTTCTACCTAATTTCCCTTACTGATCCCTGCAGTTGCACTCAACTTTTGGGGGAAAGGATGTTTCCAAGCAGATTTTTCTTTCTGAATATACTTCTCACTGCTTTTTCTTTCATAGCCAAAAAGCACCTGAAAACTTAAAGAAAAAATACCAGTTAGGACTTGTCAAATACCTCTTCCATTCTGTCAGATGTTTTATGAACTGAACTATCTACGTAACTGAATTAATTTTCATTATAAACACAGCAGTTGTGTTTATCTGGGAAATACTGTAGTTAAAAATGACTCATCTATACCTTACAGAACTATTCCACAATAAACATATATTTTGTGTATAAGAAAAATCCCAAAGGCAAAATTCTTCAGCTCTACTTCAATGTGTGGCTAGAATTTCAGACACATTGTCTGTTTCAAAATCCAAACAAATCATTTGAGGCCTCTACATTTTTAGAATACTTTGTTTTTGATAACAACCACCTTGTAATGGAGTCTCTGGACTCTTTGACATAATCTGTTCTGTGTAAGGTAGAAATGAACACCTCAAAGTAATTTTATTTATTTTTTTTCTAACCAGATATTAGTGGAAGCATTTCCATCTTCTATATTACAAATATTTTCTGAAAAATGCCATATTTATTTAATTAAACTGAGAAATTCCTTAGCTTTATATACTAGGGGACAAAAGGATATATTATATGCTTTCTAATTTTGAAGGTACTTGGCATAGTGCTGTCTGTGTGCTGTAAATTAAAGAATGCCTGCTCGTTTTTTAAGTGCAAGTACACTATGTAGTCACTCAGGAAAAAAATTTTTAAAAGTTGATTTAAATTGGAAGCTTGGAGTGTGGGGAGTTTTGAAACTGCTTTCAGTTGATGCTTAATAGTATTCTAGTTGTCACAAGTAAGGTCTAAACCTGTCTATCTTGCTTCAGTACTCACTTCTGATAGAGAAGTCCAGAGTACCTATAACTTTATATTTATGGATGCCTTTTTTTTTTTTAATGTCTAAGACTATTATTCTTTATTATGAAAGCTTATATTGTCTTGCATTGTAAACTCTGTTGTTAATCTGTGCAAAACACTGATTTTGCAAGCAATGATCATTTTGCACACACAGGAAACACAACCAGACTCTTGGTAACTCTCTTCTCACTGCTTTTACACCATGACAAATATAGCACAGATTTACAGCACTGTTTTGCTGACTGATGAAAGCAAATGTTTTCCTAGCAATTGCAATTTTTCCTGTCCTTGCAGCTGCTATCCATGTTCTTTAATCTCTTCTTAAATGATAACACTTCATCTTTATTAGATAAATGATATAATCGGTAAAGCTCCAGAGCTGGGACCACATGCAACTGTGCTGAACTTGTGCAGTACTTTTCACCTGGAGCAAGGTCAAGGCTAGGATTTATGCAAGAGCTTTAGCACGATGCTTCAGAAGGCTTTTCTAAAAACCGTGATGGGAGTTTTCCTAGGAATTGCAATGTGAGTGAGGAGTAGCCAGGCTAGAAATAAATAAGTAGATACCCATACATATGCTTACATAGCTAATGATTGAACAAAGAAAATTGATAACAAGTGATTTAGAAAGAAAGCATATAGTTGTAATTTGCTGTGTTATTTAAGGCATAGTAGCAGAAATAGCAACAGTGTAATAGAAATCTCAAGGTCCTTTGATCCCATTTCCTTTAGTCTTTTAAGGTTACCTCCTTGTCTTGCAAAAGCTGAGAAGAGCAGTCCTGCTGTGAAGGAACTGCTGATGAAGCTGAAGGGTGGTGTTGTGGGTGAGAGGAGAGGGCTGTTCTCTACCCTTGGCGCCTGGGCAGTGTCTGGCTGATCTCTGCTGAGATGCTTAAGTTGAGATGTCAGTGAATCTCTTGCAAGGAAAAGACAGGAATGACTGACTATTCACCTCTTCCTAATGCATGTTCCATGGAGCAATTGATGGGAGCTCCTGGTCCATAATGCAGATTCTTGCAATGCTTTCTTGCTATGACAGTCAGTTTTTCCCTGTGAATTATGTAACTTACATTTTTCCCTGATGTTGTACCTATTTTTTAGTAGAACAGTTTTCAGTCTCAAATTTTTGCATTAAAAAAAAATATTTTGCTGGAGTATTTGGATAAAAGTGCTTTTCAGTCTCCCCAGACATCCTCTAATTTTATTCCAGCAGTAGCAAGAGGACGTATTCTCTTCTTTACAGATTTACAGAATGCAGATATGTGATAATGAGTTACAACAGTCTGACTCCAACATTGCTGATAGTTTGGTACAATTAAGTCAGGCCTAATCTTAAAATAGGCCTAAATCCCAAATAAATATAGCATTAGGATTGCAGTGAATAATTCCTGCTTTTTGAAAGCAGTAATTGAATGCACAGATATTAAAGGCAAACCACACGGGGGCCCAGTATATAAGATTTCTAATCTACTTAACAGGATCATTTTATATGGCTAGATTCAATTAAAAAGATAAATACATTCAGTTTTCTCACAGGAGAACCTGTACATACTTTGTATTCAATCTAACTCATAGGGTGTATTTTAAGCATTCAGTGTGTCGTGATTTGAAATTTTTTGGCCCTCCCCAAAATGAATTTATTGCATTAATAGGGCTCTGGAAGACCTGGCAAATCCTGCCAGGCAATTTGATATTTGTCACTCTGAGGTGTCTGCCCACCTCTTTCTTTCCATTCTCTGACAGGGCCAAAGGGAAATGTGTCCTTCTGCCTCCCTTCTCTCATCCCCAGACTCCTGCACTCACTGAAGCTGCTGGTGAAGGGCTGTGAAGGTGGGTTTAGTGATGGTCTGAAAGAGCAGCTGCTGAAAGGCACTCAGAGCTCATCTGTCAATGTCCAGAAATTTGTAGGGAGTATTTGCGTGTCATGACCTATCTCTGAGCAATGGCAGTTGGGTTTGATTTGAGTAAAGGACATGGTAAGAAGATCCCCCAAACTCTCATAAAGCATTAGACTGTCGGTTGTTTGTCTGGTCTGGGTTGATGCTCTGACCTGAACTGGAAACTTGTTTACAAAATTTCCGTATGGTTACCCACTGGCCTATAATGTTTGAGCAGAGTGAGACCACGCTATTAAGTCATCCAGGAAATACTGTGACAATGAGGAACTATTTAACATGAGGGTATTACTAGATGGTAGCTTTGTCTGACCTGTTTATTAGGATTGGATCAAGTGGTATTATATTGCTAAAGCCAGAAAATAAACAACTGAACAAAATTTCCTAAGATGGTTCTAACTTATGCAAGAAACTAACTATATACTCTGATTTATTACTTTATTTTCTATTAGCATAGAAAAAACTGACTATAAAAGTTTGCTGTAAATCTCAGCT